TAGCGGCGGATATTCTATTAGCATCTATTCTATTACCAATAGAGTCGATGGTTGGGCCTGTAGTAGAGCTCTGGATATTGGAGCTGACGATTCGTGTGTTACCACAAAATAATTTTCGCACTGCAAACTATGTATGCGTTATAACGGTGACAGTCAATCCCTTAGTGGGTGGTAGGGTGTAACTGCCCCACTGCCTTCTCTCTGATTAATAGTTAAGAATTAGAGGAACTGTGGCAAATAGTTTAGGCTCGGCATAGTCAGATATTTAGGGCGCTTGACTCGCAATCTAAAGATAGCGGGTTCGAATCCCCCATCACACCAAACATGCTCGCACTTTCAGCCGTGGGGGCGTTATAATGTGACGGTCATCCCACTAATCTTTGGTAAAAGAGTAGCCCAAGAGTTGGCGGTGGGTGGTGATGACTAGCTGCCTTCCCTCTAGTCTTACACTGCTAAATTAGGGACAGCTAGCGCAGATAGCCCTCGTGTAGCTTTGCGCGAAATTCAAATCAAACCAAACCTTTAATAGCTCTGCCTTACACACAAAATACAAATACCTATTACCAATAGATTATGCTAGACTTTATGCTCTAATTAATCTTTCAGATCGAGAATTATTGTTCCAACTTTTGACTACAAACTTCTTTCCGCTCTTCAAGTGTATTATGTGTGATTATAGATGTTACTTGTATTATACTTTTTTTCTTGATAGCGTTATAATTCTGAAAGAAACCGAACCTGTAATTTTAAATTATCTGTTTCAATTTAATGCAGTCGATTTATATTCACATTTTAAGGAAACCCAGTTTCTTGTTTTTAAATAACGTCCGGGAAGATGAACGCTCGTGTTTTTAAATCTGAGAAATGGTTTTGAAACAATCCTTCCTTGATAAAGCAAAATGTAAACCTAATATTTCATAAGATATACATAAGTTGTTTATGGAATAGTTCAAATTTAATATAACGGTAAAAATATTTTAATCTAATATGGTAACGTTGCTAAAATAAAATTAATTTGGTTGGTTTGCTGTTGTTTAACGCGAAACTGCACAAATGCTATCTGCGCTCTGCCTACAGCGGGCAATCGAACCCTAGGTTTTAGCATTGTAAGTATGAAAACTTATTGCTGACCCACAGTGAGAGGGGGGGGGGCATTGTTTTAGGATGTATTCCATCTACACGGCAATGAAAGAAAGTTATTTCCTTGATCTACATACACGTTCAAATTGAACACTGTTATTTTCAAATATGGATTTTTGTATTCAGTATTGCATATATTTACATTAATTAGTTTTTTTTTGTAATTAAGTGAACCTAATACTCAACATCCTTGTTAAACAAGTCTCTGCGTCGAATTTCATCAATTTTTACGATTACGATTTGTTTACATCAGAAAAAGAAACATCGAAAAGATGTTCGAGATTTATAGGTAGTTTTAAATTGGTTTAACTTTAAACTACATACGAAACTTGGAACGTAAATTGGATTTAACTTTCAATTTCATGCAAAAGTCGGAATTTAAATTAGATTTCGCATTAAATTTCAAACGGAACTTCAACAAGTAGAAAGTCGGTAATCACCATTAAATTTGTAAGATGAAGAATAGAAAAATGAAAGATTGCCAACAGTTATTACATAAAAGCATATTTATTATTATTATTTGCGTTATTTAACAAGCGATTTTTCAATCTAGTTACATTAGCAGCAGGCTTAAATCCAGCAGAACTACCAATAAGCTATGGATAATCTGAATACAAATATAGTTCAATTTTTTACCTAGTCACAATATAGTCACTGTATCATTTTGGAAATTTCAAGATTAATAATATATGAAAAATAATTTCTCAACATATTTTTTCCATACATTTGTAGTTCATGTAAATTACTCAATCCGCCTTATACGAAGGAAGTTATTTATTTAGTGAAATGCACATCATAAAAGGCACAACGTGAACCATGGATATCTGTTTCTTTTTTGTATAATTATTGCAGTAGATGTGATATAGAAATTACAATTCTTGGATGTATTTTCGTGTCTGTCTGTATTTTGTAGAAAAAAAGGTAATGAGATAACTAGATGGTTGTGTGATGTTTGAGCTTTTCAGACGACTCCTGACATGAGTCACCTTTTTATATCAAATATTTATCTTTAATCCAGAGGGTAAACGTGTGTAATATTTTACATATGAATATGTGAGTTGATTTCTTGAAATGACTGTACAAAATATATTAATTTTTATTTGCTTTAACTCTAAGAAGTAAAACAAAAGTAATATACTAAATTAACGAAGAATAAATAACTTTAATTATTCCAATGATTATATCACACTTCCTTTTTTTGTATGTGTATAATAACAAGATATTCTAAGTTAAATTTCTACCTTAGCTCTTTTAAATACTTTAAGATTTTGTTTTTAAAAGAATATTCGCATGCAATTTTTCTCTTGAAGCTATGTTAAGCCGAATAATTCTAGACGTTTTAAAATTCAGCGGCTAATCATCAACGTAAGTCAATAAATGTCTAACAAAAGCGAACTTTTACCAAACATTTAACATGTAAACCATTCTCAACTTTGTAATTTTGTTAATACAAAAACAGGAACTTTAAGTGAAAATAAATTATTATTATAAAATGGTCCTAATATGTATATACAGTCTTGGCCAAAATGTTCGTATATTATGTAACAAAGTAATATCGTTATTATTAAAATGGAATACAAATACAGTTAGCGCTGTTAAACTGAAAAATACGTGTTATATTAAACATCTACATGCGTAATTTGTATAAAGGGACAAGTGCTATGAACATCATGAACGATTTATTGGAACATCAAACAATTTTATTAAACACCTGTAGAAAGATGTGTAATTCATCTATCACAACAAAACCTTATAAAAACATACATAAAGATAACATATAACATTAAATTATCATAAATAGCGCCTGTAACCTTATATCAGTTCATATTAAACATTCAGTACTTGGTTGGTCCTTCTTGTACTGTAATAACCTCCGCAAGTCGACGTGGAATACTGTCGATGAGGTTATTGATGTAATCCACTGTGATTTCATCCAAACTTGTCACTAAAAGGCTCTGCAACTCAGCTACAGTAGCTAGTTTCAGGGTCGTGGATAGCAATTTTCCTACTTAGTTCTGCCCAACAGTTATCAATGTAATTACAAGCTGGGAACTTGGCTGGCCATGACAATCTTGTAATGTCCACCTGATCGAGATAATCCTGTACAATACGCACTGTGGGCAGTGAAATTGTCATTCTGGAGTTACTGCCAAACCTTGCCCTAACATACTGCAGAATTATTCTCTCCATATTATGCCTGTAGGAGGAGCCATTGACGTTTCCCTGAAGAATATGAAGAGCAGTTTTCCACCATGATGGATAGTTGCCCAAACGTGTACTGCACCACCTTCTGTGTGTTACCTATGGAAAAGACAGTTCTTCTCTCGTCTATTCTCAAGGCAAACGACGAGTTCGATTCCTGACATCAGCTTTAACAAGCTGGAAATAGGACTCATTTGAAAAGATGAGATGTCGCCATTGTACTAACTGTACATGATGTCTTGCCCAAGTAACACGGTGACGGCGGTGAATTCTGGTTAATATTGGTTTACAGATACCCTTTCTTGCAAAATAACCTTGTTTGGTCAGTCCCCTTTTCACTGTAATGAATGTGCTCATGCCATTCCTGTTGTAAGATGTTGCAATATTTCTTTCGACCTTGACCTGTTAACCTGAACAAAACACAGTCATCCCAGGCAGTAGTTTTTTGGCGTCTACCAGTATGCTTTCCTGAAACTAGGTTTCCTGTAGTCCAGTGACGTTTCAGGATTCTAGATACAGTATGTTAATGGGGGGCTACCTTATTGTTCTGGCAATGTCCTTGTGCTTCATACCATTTCTGGACATTCGAACAATTTGTCCCCCTATAACGTCTGGAACGTGACGAAGCATCACTGTACACCAAGTACAAAGAAATTGTCTGAACAAAGCGATGATCTGTGTCGAAAAATACTATCCCAAAAGGAAACCTTTTTATACAAAACAGGTGTATGTGCGTTTTGACTAACAAATGCTCAACACCGCTTGTACAGACCAGAATAACA